TGTTTGGTTCCGTGGAGTCGGTCAACGAGCTTGCGCTGTCACCGCCTTTTGCCTTGGTGCGGACCGCACCAGAACTTCCCCGGTTGCAGCAGGTACGGATCGGGATCGATCCGCGAGCGGCCCATGCCCGTTCGTTTCGCTTCTCCTTCGCTCGTTCGATGGAAGCGTCGATATCCACGGTATCATGTTCTTGGTCGTTTCCAGAAACCCGAAAAATGTTTCTCCCATGCCTTCGTCTACATGACCTTGCAAAGCCCTAAGCCCTAGTTCATCCCCCATCCATCATAAATCACCAAATTCGTCAATAGTAGTATAGTCGTGATGGTAGCATAGTTCCAGAGAAAACATGAAATGAATAAAACATATGCTTCCCACGCCCACGCAATGCCTGCTTTCATTCATCATTACTTGTTCGTTGTTCTGCTCATCCTTTCCTGTTCTAGGGAAATTGTGTCAGAGTTGTATGTCTTTGTGTTCGCTTGCGCGCCGTCCTTTCTGCCTTGTCCATATCTCTCCAAGAAATTAAGCAACGTTCTCGTCCTAGCCCCAGTGTTCTGCTTTTTAAAAAATGAATAATCAAAATACGGGCTACCGGCCTCAGAAGGTTGACCGGAAAACATGTACACAACGAAACCCCAGGATAACCCGTGACCGGCACCCAGGCAAGCATTAACCTCGAATTGGGTGACTGTTCCGTCGTCTCCTCGGATTCAGAACCGGCAGTCGCGCTAGCCTGTTTCCGTTGCCTTATCACAAGCCAGGAAACATGGTAAACTCCAAATCCGACGGCGCACTAAAAAGGGTATCAAGGGGTAGGTGAAAGACTTTCTTTCAACCAACAAGGGAAACCAACGCCCCTAATATAGCAAACCTGAGCAATCAAGGTGACAAAGCCGAGAGCTCTAGGCTAGTATGATCTTGCTCCTAACTGATACTTCCAAAGCGGGCCAAGTGGTTTATGCAAGGTGCCTCTCGAAGCAAACGTGGAAAGGCTACCCAGATCCACGGCGTCCCGTGTGACGAGAGGCAAGGCAATTATGTAAAAGTTGCCAATCTCCATCTCTGGCCGATCAGGTGGATTAGAGCTCACTGTGGCGGAAACCCGAGCGTCTGGTAGCCAAAATACTCTCCTCCAGGGATAGCATAAGAAGCGAAGTTGAGTTGAGTGTGATCGTTGAGACGCCAAACGCCTCGTAGCAAAGATAAAAAGCCGATGAAGTCAAAAGTCGATATGAATGCTTTGTTGGCGAAATGGCGCCGTCTTTGGTCGTGTATGAGGGAAGAAACCTGGTAGATGTGGCTCCAAATCCTGAGCACGGAAACCAAGTTTCGTGCCCAGCGAGATAGAGATGGCAGCGCCCAATTGGGTGCCTAATGTTATGCCCTGCCCCTTGTTGAACGCCGAGCCATGCATGTGTGTGGTATTATACAGATCCAAGTCGAAGGAGAGCCTCGACGGCCTCCCTTTCTTGCGCATCTGACGGGGTCGTCAATGCGGGTGTTGTTGTTGAAAAGTTGAAGGTGCGGAACTGTGGCGAGCGTGCCATTCCCACTGATGAAGAGAATGACCGTAGCCCACCAGTAGCGTAGACACTGTTCGCGTTGAGGAACCGGTCGGATGGGGCTTGATATGAAGTCGCACGAAGCGCAGCCGCACCAACAGCGGCCCAGTCTTCATCATCTGTAGCGTCTTCCGTGTCGTCATCCATAGCAATATCATCGTCGTCATCAGGTGCCTCTGAGCAGGAGGCCGACGCCGAACCATCCAAGGACATCCTGTCCGCTTCGTGGTCCATCATGTGCATAGACCGATCGTCAAAGGAGAATGCCGCGCAAGATTCACCGTCGAGGGAACCAGCCGCTGCGATGCGCAAGCGATCTAGGTTCCAACCGCCATTCCTGGTGATGGGAATACTTGCGGGTTGACTGTCACCGTGTGGCGATGCTCGGCGTGCTGCCATATACCCGGAGGGCTGGCCACGCCTCCTGGCTTGCCATATTCCCCAGCCCACCTTCTCAAATTGTACGTCACCGTCCAGACCGCCGCCTTCGCCTCCACTTCCTCGACCTTCCAAAGCACCCACAACCAACCTCCGAGCCTTTGTCGGAGGAATCTCAGCAAAGCCAGGGATAGAGCTCGTGAGATAACCCATGATATGACGGATCGCAAGCGGACCGTGGTTCAAGAGGATTTCTGGTAGATGGAACTTGGCCAACATGGCAGGGTTGATGCCGGCCGACTCGTATGGGGGAGAACCGGCACTACCGTTGTGATCGGTGTCGTGATCGCCATGGAGGTCCAGATCCGAGTCGACGTGTTGGTCCATCCGAGCTCTCTGAAGCTGGGCCTTGAGCCCATGGGGAGGCAGTGTAGGGGACATGGAGTTGGGAGGAGTAGGGAGGGGGATCGGGTGAGTTGCCGTCACAGGGACACTCCGGGCCGCTACAGCAGTTAAGTTGTCTCGGCCGAGGGAGGTCGTAGTGATATCGCGAACAGCAGATGCCATGATTGCCTTGTTGACCTTTGTTGACGTAGGTGTGCTTCGAGACGTGTCTGCGAGTCGGCGCCAGTGGGTGTTAGCACGATACGGCGGGAGGAGGGCAGACACGCGACGACGCGTTGGTGAGGAGGTATGATGGTGCTGTTGCTTGTGATGATGATGATGATGATGGAAGGAGGAGGAGGAGGAGGAGTGACGGACAACGGCGGTGGCGGTCTTTTTGTTATCAGTCGTGATGCCGACCAGGGCCATGGACCATGTACAACTACTATACTATAGTATGTATGATACACACACGCATACACGCACACAGTACGGTGTAGGTCCAAGTAGAGCCAAGGTACACCGGTCGATATGACGATGTGCCCTAATCGCACACACGCACTCGTCGTGGTCGCAGGCTGATGCGCGGCACCAAAGAGGAGGGGGGGGGGTGGGCCATGGGACACAATGCCCGTGGTTATTATCAGGGGGGACGTGGGTTGAATTGAGGGGGGAAAGTGGTATTCTAGGGTCCGCTCCTGAGTCACTTACCAGATGTCCGAAGGAGATGCGCAGCTGGCAAAGTAACTCTTGTTCGGGCCAAAGTGGATTTGGTCGGATCAAAAGTGTGGAGGCAGGGAAACGGCAGAGCTGTTGTTATCGCGATGATCTCTCTGTGACAGGAGATGACTCTCGGTGCTGAATCGATGGTGCAGAAGTGCGTGTTTGTTTCTTTGAAGAAGAAAAGGGAAAAGAAGAAGAAGAAGAAGAAGAGAGAAGGAGGAGGAGGAGGAGGGAAGAGAAGGAGATGGGATGAATGCCAGTGATAATTAGTCCAATCCATTCTTCCTGCCCTGGGTGTGCGCCCCCATACGTAGAACAGGTACAGACAGCTAGTACCATACAAGTACGGCGTAGGGAGATGCCCGACCGGAGAGGTACCACTTACAACAACTGGCAGCCTGACGGGCACCCGACACAACGGGCACAATCTCGACGCGCACACGGACAAGACAGGCAGGACACCATCTCACCTACTGTACCGGTAAACTGTACTGTACTTTACCATTGTCGCGAACACCTTCTGGCCCTCGCTTACCATTGTCTTGTTCACCTGTCATCGCTGTTTGCCTTGGGCAACCTAACCTAGATACGGGTAGAGGCTAGGTAGGTAGGTACCTCCCTCTTTTCTGAAGCTTCTCTTCTCGGTACCTAGGTTCCTAGGTAGGTAGGTATGGGAATGAACCAGGGGCTCAGCTGCAGTCATCAAAACGCGCCGCAGAGCGGGCAGTCACCGTGTTGCTTCCGCGCTTGCGTACCTGCTGAACCGTGTACAATTGGCATCAAAATGGGCATGGCATGGAAGCATGGACTAGGCCATCAGATCGAACAAAGCAACAAAGCCGGTCCAAAGGGCTGTCTTTCAACATGCCAGTCACAAGATCATTTGGGTTTGCCGATAATTGGGGGCCCTGTTGCCATGCCATGGATGTGTGTGATGAGTGATTAGGGCCTGAATGGTTGCAAATGGATGGTTCTGCAGAAACACAGAAGGAATGACAAGCCTCGACAATGGATAGATGAGGTGACACCTCTTTCTCCCCGCGCCACCTGGGGTGCACATAGTGGCCATGAACATGTGCGCCTCCCCAGCATACCTATTCCGTCTTAGTCCAAAGGGAGAGCGTACCGTGCAAATGCCAACCTCATCGACTGGTTACTTGTGTTCAACTTGAAGTGTCTCCATGTTGTCTCTTCGAAGAGGACCGCTTGCAAAGGGAACCAGCCAAGGCACACCAACTACACTAACACCGACACACACACACACTCCCCCCCCCCACCTCTTTGACTACCTCGTTGACCCCTTCCGCCGGCGCTCCTTTTACGGGTTCCTTGGTCACGATATCCGGCCTACTACCAACTCACTCCCGCCTTTTCGCAAGTTCCATCATCGGTCGTCTATTTTGGCACCATGTGGCTAATTTGTGCTTTGTGCGTTTATTTTTCCACCGTGTTGTTGTTGGGTGATCTCATCATCATGAATATGACACAAAGATAGATAGTCTTGGTAAGGGTAATCCGGTATATCTGACAGTACAGGACAGATAACAATGTCATGACAACGTTCAATCAAGCCCACACATAGCCAGACCAGAGAGGTTCTCAATTTTGCACAATTTCGGCGATAGGCTGGCCATTGGAGTTTCACTAGCACACATGGGGGCAAAAACCTAGTTTAGGGCTTCTCTTCTGGGTCTGAGAGCGGCCTGTTAGTGCGGTGGGCGACGAGTGCGGACTACAGGCCTAGGTACCTAGTGTACAGCAGCTTTCTAGCGCTATAGGCTGTATACACCTATGTACAAGGCGACACACAATGCATGTTGCACGGGTAGGTGGGTATGTCGGTACATCCATTACAACACCGTAACCGGGCAAGGCTGCTCCGCCGTCTCATTCCTTCACGTGGTGTTGGAGATGCTTCCGTCTTGTCCACAAATTCAGGGCACAACCTGAACTCCCCGTTTCTCCGTCATTGATGGACAACATACTGGTTGAACTTGATACCCAAATGGTACCGCAAGGGTAACGTAGCTGCGGCGCAGAGGACATCACACCTTGCCTTCATCTACGCGAGAGCGGATACTGATATCAAACCCCCCCAGCTCATTCAGTGCTACATGTGTAGTTGGCTTCCCGCTGGTCCCGGACACCGGAAGTCGTAGAGACACGGCCTTCGCATTGGGAAGCAAACTACAACTGCATCATGATGCAGGTTTGCGACGGACGAGTACACCAGGCGCTGACCATTCAGCCATATGGGCTATGTACGACTGATGGATTACACGGCGCACGAACCAAGCAGACAAAGCCCGGCCAAACTGCCGCCGTCAGCCCCGTCGGTCTTCCCGCCATGGCCATTACCGGCGGTCGCTGCCGGTCCGAAGTGCCTGCATTCGTACGATTGTCTGTGAATGGGTAATCCTCTCCGTATCCCGCACCTGGGAAGTCCCAACCCCGGGCAACCGAGACTCTGGAACCCCGCCCAACACTGGCTTGACGGGAACGAGAAGCAAGGGGCTGACCTGCCCGAGATGTTCCGCAACCTGGCTGGGAGTAACCTTGCTGGGAACAGTCGCAGTAGGTCAGTCGTCGCACGGGCTCCGTAGCCGCATGGTCAACGAATTGGTTGGGGAGGTGGTAATCGTGTAGATGCCCGCACACAATTATCCGCCGATCGCTCGATGAGCCTCTTGGTACATAGTGTAGTCGTCGGTTTAGACTTTGGGCAACATGAGGCGGAAGCAAGGAGATTCAGGGCGAACAGCCACTCATCTCGCCCCGTGTATTGTGTCACGGACGTCCGAAGGCCACATAGTAAAAGGAGCACAGGGCAACGAAATGATCTCCGGCCGTCATCATGGCAGGTCCCCAGAGAAGATCAGATACCATGAATTCCAAAAGGGAAATCACGTTGGATAAGACGCTCGTTCTGATTGGATGGATGTTCGAGAATGGCGATGGCCTATCGGGTGAGCACAACCGAAGCACACCTCTTCTGCCATTGGATTCCTTACAGCGTACCTCATTGTGTGTGTGTGGGGGAGCAGATGTCCCGAAGAATTGGCGAACTCGACCGCCGGAACGTTCTCTTTCGGTATTATTAGTTCAAGTTATTTCCCGTCGTCCACTAGTGACCAGCCCCCTCAGTAAGAGAGGGGAACACGGTCTCAGTTTAGAAAGTCACAAGGCCTAGGTTGTCGTGAGATCACAGATAACGAATGAGTAGGCACGGCTTGGCATCGCCATCCTGAATATCGCTCACCACATCGAATCCGTATAGTTCTACACATCCAGATAGCAGGGTCTTTTAAACTGGGGCAGACAATGCACACGCAAAAAGACAAAACAAAGGAAAACAAAAGCTCTAAACACAAAAAAAAAGTCCATTCCCAACCCTTCGCTTCTCTTTCAGGGACGTCGAAAACCAACCACTTACATACAAGAGTGTTCTATAGCGTTACTAGCAACTAGCAGGTGGTAATGTGATGTGAAATGTCCACCATGCGACGACGATCCACTGGGTTCTCATCATCTCAGAATGACCGGAGTCAATCCGTGGTCCACTGTTTGGACCGTGGCTGACCTGTTGATGAGCCAAGCTGGCGGTCCCGGTTTTTTTTTACCCTAAGTTTCAACATCCGCGGCGGTTTCGGGGGACTGCGGAGAGCGGGGCGGGAGACGGGAGCGGAGATGATGCCGAGTTCACTAGCGCTGTACTGTATGTATATCGTGAAGGCTGCCTTGCTTCCGCGGTTAGTAGGTAATCATCTCAACAAAACGCTGCAGCAAACTAACCCATTCTACTCAAGACAGCCAAGACAACCACCTCGACGGTTCGAAGCATGAGAAGAAACACGTGGGTCTTGTAAGGGTCAATAGCCTCGAGGCCCATGGTGACCGAGGTATGCGATCGTAGAATCAAGTTGGGCAGAGAGGTGACTAATCAGTAACCACGTCAGGAACGAGCAACTGGCAGTGTATATCATGTAGAGAATAGAATATATGTTGGGGGCAAGGGAAAATTTAAACCACACAATGGGTTACTAATTGTCGGAACATCTCTTTTCTTTGTGCATCTGAGAACCTCAATGGCCTGCTACCTTTGTATCTCGAAACACTTGAACCCATGCATTAACCTCCAGACATCAGTCGAAATTTGTCCTCTGTTCTCCCGTATCCGTTCGATTTCTCGGCCAATAGACTCTCAAGGTTTGACACCTCTGGCCCGTCGCTCATTCCTTTCAATGTCGATGTCGTTGCCAAAACCAGGTCTTGTAGCGGTAGGTACGGTAGCGCTAATATTTGAAAAAGTGCCATGAAATCCACGCCATCAGATATCACGGCCGTCTTTGCCATACCTCGTCGCCAAAAGGGACAACACCCACCCATCGATATCGTATCGTGGGTAAATTTGGGCCGCGCGTATGCTTCAAATCTTAGTACTAGCGCTTCACAGTGCGGAAATGCCTGGAGCACCCTGCTTACAAGAAACGTAGGGAATGAAATGTACTGACTGGAAGATTACATCACCTTCCGCCGGCAAGACTTGTTCGGACTCGGAATGGACAATGTGCCAAAATTCGTGGAGAGGACCCTTGACCCACTCACAAACATTGATAGTTGAACCAAATAACCATCATTTGACTGGAGTCAGCTGGGATGGGCAGTTAAGTGAGGAGGACCACACACCATCACCGATATCGTCTTCTGTGCATGTGAATGAGCGTCCACTGTTTGGTATTGTCCTGTCCTTTTCCGTCCTGCCCTGCTACTGCCTGCGCAAATGGAAAGTTCGTAGCCATACCAGAACATACACTCGTCGTTGGGCTTTTGAGGTATACAGTACTTATTAGACGACAAGCAGAAGCTGGCGCTGCTGAAAGCGCCACAACCCCCCGAATGGAACACTGTATCCTCCATCGAGAAAGTCGATTCGGTGTCTGATTCTATGGGTAACAGGTTGTGTAACGACACAAGAACCTGCTTTGTGTATGGGACCAAGTGTTTCTGCGGCCCAACACACCACCACCACAACTACAACCACGACGACGTTATGTAATATGTAGTATGTGCCGCATCGCAGCCACCCACGACAAGACAGGCCTCCCATTACGACATTGAGTTGGAATGGGTGGGCAGTTGGGCTCGGCTCGGTTCGTGTTGGTAAATTCGCGAGATGGCTAGAACGTTCTCTCGGTCTTGGACATTGTATCGCCACGTTGAATCCATTCCAACTTCAGGTAGGAGATATGGTGATATTGGGTGGCACCGGGGCAAACCGGGACGTTTCGATACGATGATCCCCATGTTAAGGTGACTGCTCGGCCCATAATCACACGCTGTTGAAGTCTGAGTTCTGTGAGGCATAGAATAATACTGCTCTCATACCAAACTTGTTGAGGACTCTCCACCACCGCGAATGTTGACCGTCTAGATTTCAAGCCCCGCCATTCTGACCAAATACATACTGTCTACAGGCCTAGATTTTCGCCTCTGTCAGTAGATGTGACAGCAGTGACAGTTCCATAAGGAATGTGGGAACGAAGCGATAGGGGTCACGAAGGAAATTACTTACAGCTTTCAGCAAGTTGACCTCCTCCCGTGACTGATCATACACTTGACGATAACTCGCGATACTCTCCCGCAAGAGGGCATCCCTGGTAAGCCGACCTTCGCAAATTGCCTTCATCTTGAGCTCCATCTCCTTGCGGAGAAAGGGCTTGCCGAGGCTGGTTTCGAAGTTCATCCTCTCAAAGCCCTCAATCAAGGCGACACCGAGGCTGGTCGGGATAAACTCCTTGACACCACCGCCAACTCCGCCTCCTCCTCGTCCGCCCCGCCCACCACCTCTTCCACGTCCTCCCCGGCCACCGCGTCCGCCCCGTGCGCCACCAGCTGCACCGTCATCCTCGTCGTTACCGCCGCCTCCATTACCGCCTCGCTCGACCACCTGCACATACTGTCTCTCCTTGATCTTCTCAATATGCTGGGCCATGGTCGCATCGGTGCCAATTCCATTCGCGTCCATGAGGGCAATCAGATCCGCCTCGGTCAGATAGCTAGGGGCGGTGGTCTTGCCTTCGGTCATCATAGCTTCGGTCGGTTCAAACGTCTCGCCGACGGTGAATTTCGGTAGCTCGGCCGTTCCGGTCCAGTTTTCGTAAGGGTAAACGTCGAGGTAGTTGCGCTGGTGGACGATCAGGCCGTGGGCGACGAACTTTTCTTCGCCGTAGGTAATTTCCACGTCGGTGGCTGCTCCTCTGGCGTCTTCGGAGCAGCAGGCGAGAAATCGGCGGACCACGAACTCGTATAGTCTTTTTTCCTGATCGTCAAGCACGGTGGGTGCCGCATATGTGATGGGATGAATGGGAGGATGGGCCTTGTCGTCATTCCTACCTTGGCGAGGTTGTTGGAAGGCTCCGTCGACCAGATTCTGTGCGAAGGGACCCCAGCGTTGGTCCTGGGTTTGCTTTTGGACGAGCGCCCGCAAGTTCATGCCCTTGTCAAAGCGGTCTGTTTCTGTTCTGGGGTAGCTGATGAAACCCTTGTTGTATAGTTTTTCTGCTACCGTCATGGCTTCTTGACCCGTCATCCGAAGAAACCGTGTGGCCATCTTCTGAAGCTCGACGGTGGTGAGGGGAAGAGGCTTCCATTTCTTGGTTTGCTTCTCTTTGACTTCCGTGACCTTTGCAATTTTGGCGGCGAGACATCGTTCGTAAAGGAGGAGCACGGACAACCTGTCGAACAGACGGTTTCTGGACCAGTTGAAGTTGACTTTGACACCTTCTTTCTCGTGCATCACCTTGATAGACCAGAACGGTTCTGGAACAAAGTTTCTGACGCGGAAGTATCGGTCGACGACGAAACCAAGAGTTGGGAACTGACAGGATCCTGTTCAGTCAGACTCATAATGACAGTGTAAGCTCTATTCGGACTTACCATAGCTGAGCAGAAGGTCGGCCATTGCCCCACCAAGGGGTCTCAGACTTAACGTCAAAAAGCGAGTAAATGCAGATCCGATTCTCAGGTCCAACTCGATACGCGCAGCGACTGCTTCAGCCTGTTTGTCGTCTAAGGCTACCGGACGTCGGGCAGCAGATAGGATATGTCTGGATATCGGGTTCGGCATGTCAGTTATGCTTGGGTTTAGACACCTGGATGGCGAACTCACGCTCGTTCAATGTTGCTGAACCTTGCTCTGTAGACTTGAATGTTCCTCTTGCCCTTCCTTGCGGCCTCCCGGATCTCACTTCCGATGTGCTCACCTTCTCGATCACAATCCGTCCAGATGTAGAGTATGTCAGCTTGCCGGGCCTGGTTTTCGATGTTCTGGGCAATAGTTTTCATGTCCTAGCATGAATCCCGTTGTCAACATCAAAAATGCAAGCAAGGATGATGTGCCCGACACTTGTTGGCGATGGCGAGACATACATGCGGGTAGATTGTCTGGACAGGCGCGTCAAAGAGGCGACCTGGTGGTGGGTATTCCCACTTCTTAAACTCCTGGTGAAAGTCTAGCTGCGTGAGATGTCCCCTCACAGCAGTCATGGTGACCGTAGAGCGTCCCCAGGGAGGACCGAAATCGCAAGTGAAAACATAATTTTTGGTATACCTGTCCCGAGTGTCATGCTGCCTAGCACGTTAGCCATGATCTCTTCCAGACATTGTGAAGACGTAGTGGCAACCCACGGTTTGATATGAGCCACCAGACAGATGTGTAGCGACCGCCTTTGCAATCGACGGTTTTTCAGCCACACAAAGGATTCGCGGCATTTTGGACGAATAAGAGCGCACAGAAGAAAGGGACGATATTCTCAGAATGAACCTACCCCTTGGAAGCAAGGGAAAGCGGGGCATCAAGCGGTCGTCTGATGTTCTGGTGAAGTAAATGTGAAGTGAATCCCATTTGTGACGAAACAAAGAGGCGTTCGTCGTAGGACAGACGAAAGGGCCGGTGCAGGTTCACTTGAACCGAAATTTATTTCGGAAACATCAGCTCCTGGATGCCGAGAGATTGATAACCTTGGGGCTCTTCACAGCCTTTGCAGTCATACCTGTTGCATGCAGATATCCGTCTTCGCGGGCTGATCAAGCAACTATGGAAGTCAGTTGATGGTTGATGGCGAGGGGAGACGCGCTTCGCGTCTGGTGTTGTAATGTGTAATTGATGCGTGAATCCTTACATTCAAACAATTTGGTCGAGTCGCATTACATATTGACCTATGCGAGCTATGCATGCAGTGCACTCATGCACTTGCGCTAAAAGAGGTATGACGATGCAGGTTGCGTTCATGCCCCGCCTTTTATGGGCGAACTAGGTACTGGCTGGAGCCCCGGGCTTGACGGATACTTGTATACACCAGCACATGACGCCAATCCTCCGTCATTCACTAGTACCTCCAACAACATCCCACCGGATTCTTCGATTCGGTCAAACAAAACATCCATTTTCAATCCGGAAGCCTTTGACTGTGCCCATTCTTGTTTCTTGCCTCGTCCACCGATCAGCTACACAGCTGCCCGCCATGACACTGCCTTACGCCATGGCTCTGCCCAAGTTGGGCGCACTTCAAGACTGTTCCGACTTCTCAAAGACAGTCACCCCTTTCCTGCCCCAACTTTACGCCCTTCCGCGTCAAATTTTGGATACCATTTTCAATGGGGGGAGCTTCCTCAAGCTGTACATGGAGACCAACCCCTTTATCAGCGGGCTCGGGATCTCCATTTTCCTAGGCGGCGTGTTTCTTGTTGCTGCCGAGGTCAACAGGAACTACTCGCAAGTCGACCGCTTCTGGAGCATACTGCCGACCATCTACATCGCTCACTTTGCGACATGGGCGCGTCTGGCCGGAATCCCCAGCCGGCGCATCGATGCCGCGCTGCTTTTTAGTACCATTTGGAGCGTGAGTCTAGTCGCAGACTGCGAATAGCAAGAGTACCTACTAACAACGTCAAACTCTTTAGATACGCCTGACTTATAACTATTGGCGGAAGGGCGGCTATAACGTTGGTTCTCAAGATTACAGGTGGGAAATCGTTCGTGCTTCGATGCCGAAGTTGGCTTTTCATATCTTGAACTGGACCTTCATCTCCTTCATCCAGAGCGTTCTGCTTTACATGCTCGCTTCTCCTGTTTATGTCCTTCTCCTGGCCACTCAGTTCGAGCCTGAGCTCTCTACAGCTGATATTGGCTTCGTCGTCATGGAACTGGGTCTTATTCTTACCGAGTTCATTGCTGATCATCAACAATGGGGTCAGTGCTGTGGTACATGTATTCCTCTGGGGAGTGCCCGCTAACATGAAGCGCGTGTAGTTTTCCAGTCAGCGAAGAATGAGTACAAGACCTCTGGTCAGATCCCGGCCGGCCACAAGCAGGCTGATCTCGACCGAGGCTTCATCACATCAGGTCTCTGGGCTTACAGCAGACATCCGAACTTTGCCGCTGAGCAATCCATCTGGCTCACCCTTTACCAATGGGGCTGCTTTGCGACCAACACCCTCTACAACTGGACCATTGTGTCCCCCATTATGCTCATGAGTGTTTTCCAGGGCTCCACGTGGCTGACAGAGCGCATCACCGCCGGGAAGTACCCAGAATACAGCGCGTACCAAAAGCAGGTCGGCACGTTCGTACCCAAGACTTTGAAGGGGTACAAGACCCCTGTGCCCAAGTTTATCCGCACCAGCGATCTTGCCAAGAAGCTGCAGGAGAAGGAGAACAAGAAGCAAAAGTGAAGACAGCCCAAGACCTTCGCCTTTTCCATTTTGTGACTGGCAAGACAACCAACTGCGATGGCTTTGGCATAAGCTTGAAGGAAATGGCCGGGCTGAAAGCAGTGGATGGAATCTTAGCGGCGGGCTCGGGAGTACATCATGCAGGGGCCAGGTATGTACCATGGATAGCGTGGTCAAAGCAAAAAGTGGTCGCCTATCTTGTTTTGGACGCAATTTGCTATGGCGAACGTCAATCAACCCTTGCAACTCCAAATTTACAGAGTTCATCATTTTCACTTGCGTCTGTGTCGGGTCGAAGTGGCCCAAGGCTGATACTTATACGCACCATGAGTGATGGTGAAATGCTCTACCCAGGTTTTTCGGGCATCTAGCACCCTCCAAATTTCAGTGTTCTTATTGCATTTAGCTCTTCGAACATAGTGGGACGGCAGCTCAATCAGAATCCTAAAGTACAGGAAAATGGCACGTGAAATATGGAATTTTAAACAATTCGTTAATATTGTGTCAGGGGTCCGGCGTGATCCCACATGACCACCCGTGAAATTACGCCGTAGATGCTTGTTCGAAGCGTGGAGCTCGCTAGTGACCCGACGAATGGTTATAAGAACAAACCGAACACGTTACGGTTAGTAAATTACATCTTGGGGTTTACTCTTACCAGGCATCAAAGCATCATTGGAAGTAATATACCCTTGAACCTAGATTTCAAGCAGTTCCTGAATGGAACATCCTTTACCAAAGGACTCTAGCCGATGTTTTTCCAAGTTATCGCGATCCCTATCACAGCTACTATACGGCCTGTCATAGCCCAAGCGGACTTCAAAGGACTGTGCATGTTGGTTTATATTTACGACCACTTCGCCTAAAAACCTTGGTATGCACCAGAACACGGGAAAAAATTGGGACCTCTTAAAATCCCTGAACAAAACGTGAAGGGCCTGATCACAAACCCCTGAAGTGCCCGATGCACGGTAGATCTTCACACAGGCCCCGGCCCCGGGACCCCTATCCCGGCAGAGCAACCGATGGGTCCCCTGGGCAACAAAACATTAAAGAGGCTCCGTGAAATTTCCAGATTGCCAAAATCCGAGAGGATGACACGACGCACGTTCCATCTCAAGATGGAATCCCTTCATATCTGTGATACTTTTTTTGAAATATTGATGTGGAGACGTGCTTATGAGATTTTGCAAGGGGCTCGCTCGGTCAGACTTTCCGCGCCAGCACAATTGGGTGTCCGTAATTTGTTGGGTAGCGAAGTCCGAGGAAGGCGACATCTGTCAAACCGTGGATATTTGTGAAGTATAAAGAAGATATCCTACCCCCGTTTTGACTCCTGAATCTGGACCTTTTGTCTGTTTATTCCTCTCTGGTTGCCTATCTCGGCCTTGGTACTTCGATCACCTTTCTGTCACTCGTTCTCCGACATTTATCCTACTAATAACTAATCCATACTGACGCTCTCTCATTCATCCGTTTTCCCATCACTGCCGTTGTACTTTGAGCCGGGCACATCCCAATACTTTTGGCGTTTTTCAACATCTCATCCCGAATTTTGCATCACTGGCTGGTACTCTGAAACCGAACAACTCCACCCGATCTCTTGCGCCTGATCAAACACCGAACCTGACGATCCTTCGCCTCACCTGCTTGGTCTTGAAAAGCCCAGACTTACAAACACTCGAAAATTAGAAACCCGATTCTTCATTGGAACAAGTTTCCGTTGGGGTTATCTACTTTCCGTTCGAAAACCTGCGACAACCTGGTGTAAGGAGGACAGTATTGGGCCCAAACCAAAATTACCGACGGAAAAAACGGTCAATCCAGAACGGCTTGACACTCACGATAGTTCCTTACAATACGAGTTGTACCCTTCACTCGCGCATCTTGCAGCCGTTGAGTCACCAGGACCAGGGCTACAGCACACACACACATACACACACACACACATAACCTTGCAGTTATCATTATATAATCCCGCACCCCACATCTGCTTTTTTCCCTCCCGCTTCTTCACGATGGCCTCCTTCTCCCCAGAAGATCCCTTCTTCAACCTCTTTTTCACTCCGGCACCAACTTCGTCCGCCAGGAACGCTAGAAACGGCGGCAGCAGCGTGACAAGGAGTCGCAGCCCATCGCCATTCCCCCCTCTTCCTCCCACATCTACCGCAACCCCATCTTTGGTCAGGGCGTTGATGTACTCGACGTCTATCCCAATGTCCATCATGCCGTCCTCCAAGGAAACTCTCATCAGCAAGTCGCCAATTCTCTCCGCCTTGCGCTCCCCGGTGGGCACCGCGTCTGGTCATCATCGCAGCTCCATTTCCTCCACCACCTCTTCCGTTGTGACCACCTCCACCACCTCAGATGCTGCTGTCGTTGAGGTCCGAGTTACTACCAAGCCCGCGGAGGAGGCTACCATCGAGGAGCTGCTGGCCCGCCCTCCCCCCAAGCACTCGCTCAGCTACTACGTCAAGAACGCGCGCGACAGGCGCATGCCCGTTGTTGACCCTGAGGAGGAAAGGATGCGCTTTGAAAAGGCGAAGGCGGAGTTGTTGGCTGCGAAGGCGGCGTTTGACCTGAAGATCTAAAGCGACAAACACCTTGGAAAGTTTCGACCTTTCGTCGCGATCACTTCCATCTCACCCATTACCTGTGCAACACGGCAACTTTGGTTTTCTGGTTACCGGCAATCAATTTGGCAAACGCTGTTGACGGATGGGAGCTTTGCTACCTCTAGCGACAGTAGCGAGCGAGCGAGCGACCATGAAGCTCGGCACCCAATTTCGGCTGTTTTCTTGAATTACTCATTCTATTCTCACTCAACAAGCGACTTTGTTTGGCTTTTTGGACTTTTTCCTCCTCGTTTCTCCTATCGACTTAGTCTTGGATCGGCATCAGCCATGTCGAGTATCAACGAGACGGACATAGACAAGGGAAAAACGCGGGTTATCAAGTTCCTCACGGAACAGGCGGCGGCGGCGTTAATGGAGTGTTTTTATTGGTCCTTTGTCAACCACGGAGCCGAGAAAGGTCAGAAGGGATAAGAAACTGATGCAGAGAGGATTTCGTATGCATTATTGAAGACGAGTGAAAAGCAAAGGGAAAAGGAATGGAGAAGGCAAACCTATATAATTTGGTACTGAGGGGGAATGGGTGGATATATGGCTTGCAATCATGCTTTGCGCGATCCAACAGATAGACAGCAGGGAAATGGATGTGCCTCAGTAGCCCTTGAACAAACTTGAACAAACATGAACACACCTGTGCATTAATGTCCTCCTCTAGTCAAGACGTGAAGCCAATGTGAAGCCATACACGACAGTAGCGATGAAGTTGCCCAAGTTAAGGAGCGATGAAATGCCGTGGAGCTGGGAGAAGCGCTTGTTCAGCGCAGTCATCTCCTGAGAGTGTGGGGGAGCATCATAGCTCTTCTTGCCGTCCTTGGTTTCTAAAAAGTTTTCAATTACCCTCAACGTCAGCAACGACACGATACCTCGAACAAGACAGGATCGTCAAGATAAACTCACCCTGATGCCTCCTCTCCTTCATACACTTGGTAGTAGCGGGCCCAATCACAGCAAGGTTGGCCAGGCCGGTAAAGAAGATGGTAGCAATGGGGGCCAGAACAGACCACCTATTATCCGGGTCCAGAACGCCGGCGATCCCAGCTGCTCCAGAGGATCCGAATGCGGAGGTAGCCGCGGGGTAGGTCAGGGCAAGAACGACGGGGATGGCGGTTTGGATGGAGAAGTAGACGGGGAAGATCTTGGTCATGAGCGCGGAGAATTGCGGGCGGGGAAGGACCTGGAAGGCAATGATGCCGCCCACGAACGACTATGTTGGGTACGGAGGTTAGCGGGAAGTGTCCGCTTTCGTGACTTTGACTCTGTGACTTCTGAATGGTATATGGCCGTGTTGGCGAGGGGTCATACATGGAAGAATGTTGTCCCAAGTAAGGTGCCATAGCTGTGGTGAAAACGGGGCGAAGTTAGCAGTTGAGAACAGCGAGTAAGCTGTGATGTCACTAACCTGATAATATGGTAGGGACCTGGCGAGACTAGGCTTGAAAATGACATCTTGACTGTTGGATACGCACGTATACAGATGATAAGGGAGGAGCAAAGATATTATGATAGGTTTTGATAACCTCAAGAATATGGGGATGAGGTTCAAGGGATGAAGTTGGCGACAACAACCCAAATAAGCTCCCCACGCATCATACTTTTATGCAATGCATTAGTGCATGCATAAAGCGGAGCGAGGCCGTCGCTTCCAGATTGGTGCGCAGCTACGTTACCACATTTGACCAATGAAGTATCACGGTGAGTTGCATGTCATGGATAACGCGAAAGCATGTGCCTTCGCGCAAGCACACAGTGTATTGTAACGTAATTGACAATATTAAACGCCAACACCAATTCAGTTCCCGTTACAGCGTGTAGTTAGGTTGCTCCGACCTGTCTCCAACCCTGGCGATGCTGCCTAGAAACCCACCTCGAATGAATGCGAAGCGAACGGGCCACAGCAGAGTCATGCCAGAGATTATTTTCCTCGCAAACTCCAGTCTTCTCCTTTGACTCGAATTCCAAATCCCATCATCGCCGCCAATTGCAACTCCACGGACAGTCCTCACCTTCCCTCACCATGGCGGACAAGGAAGCCACAGTCTATGTCATCGACCTGGGTGAGTCCATGGCCGACTGTCACAATGGACGTAATGAATCCAATCTCGACTTTGGCATGCGCTACATCTGGGACAAGATTTCAACTACCGTGGCAGCCAGCCGCAAGACCTGGAACGTGGGTGTCGTGGGCCTCAACACCGATGAGACCAACAACAACGAAAACAGGGAAGAGTATCAGGGTTACGAGAACATATCGGTTCTCAAGGAGCTTGGGCCCATGACCATGACTTCTCTAAGAGTACTAAAGAGCAAGATTGAGCCATCCAGTACCTCCAGCGCAGACGCTATTTCGGCAATCGTGGTTGCCCTCAGAATGATCCAAACCTTTACGAAGAAGTTGAAGTACAAGCGGAAGATTATCGTCGTAACAAACGGGGAGTCGCCTATCGATGATGATCAGTCTGAAGAGGTAGCGAACATGCTCAATGACGTGGGAATAGAGCTTATCGTGCTGTGAGTGTTCGCCTTCCACGAGAGAGCTTCTGTTGCGAGTGCTTGATAGTTGACCATCAGGTAGCGGTGTGGATTTTGACGATGCCGAATATGGCTTCAAGGAGGAGGATAAGCCACGCCACAAGGTGAGGCGAACACCACTTGGCGATAACTAAACATGCTAACAATTCCCCAGGAGCAAAACGAGAAAATCCTCAAAACGCTGGTAGACCACTGTGAGAGCGGCGCATTCGGCACCATGGCACAAGCAGTGGAAGAGCTTGCCACTCCCAGAATCAAATCCGTCAGGCCTTTCAAGGCATATGATGGCCCTCTGACGCTCGGAGACCCCCAAAAATACCCGAGCGCGCTGAGCATTCAGGTTGAGCGCTACTTCAAGACCAAGAGAGCAACACCTCCGTCAGCGAGCAATGTGGCCAACCCTAATGGACCGCCTCAGACACAGGTTTGGGACGAAGACCACGGCGTACCATTTAGTGGTGTGGGCTTTCAGCCAGTCAAGCAACTGCGCACATACAGAATCGAGGACTCCAAGGCAGCAGGAGGGAAGAAAGACGTCGACATGGAGGATCTTGCCAAGGCATATCAGTATGGCAGGACCGTAGTCCCCTTTGGCAAGAGTGAGGAGGACTACCTGAAATACGAGACAACGAAGAGTTTCACAATCATCGGCTTCGTTCCCATGAGCAGCGTAAGTTGTAGTTTGGTTTGTTGACATGTGCCAACGAGCGCTAACGAAATACCCATAGTATGAGCCATTCTTGAACATGGGAGAGACAGGCCTCATTGTTGCTCAAAAGGTAAACGAGGAAGCGGAGCTCGGTCTATCGGCTCTTATTCATGCTCTACATGAGCTTGAGTCCTACGCTGTGGCCAGATATGTCAACAAAGATAAAGCACCACCCCAAATCCTTCTTCTCAAGCCAAATCCGGCTATCGAAGACGACATTGAGTGCTTGTACGACATCCCGCTGCCGTTCGCGGAGGACGTCAGGAGTTATCAGTTCCCTCCGTTGGACAAGGTGTTGACTATCACGGGGAACGTACTCACGGAACATCGCCTTCTACCCAACAATGATTTACAGCAGGCGATGAGCGACTACGTCGATGCAATGGACTTGACTGAATATGGGCAGGATGACGATGGGTAAACTTTCCCCTCCCCTAGAATTTGACTTTGGTACGATGCTAACGGAACGGCAGACACCCTGCGGAATACGCGCCCGTTGATGACCTGTATAACCCCGTCATCCACCACATGAACCAAGCGATCCGTAATCGCGCAGTGAACCCTGATGCTCCTTTACCACCCGTAGCCGAAATCCTCACACGCTTCACGCATCCGCCTGAACCACTGATAGCGAAAGCCAAGACAGAGATCGACGGATTGATAAAAGCAGCAGAAGTCAAGAAAGGTAAGTTGACACCTGTATTGCCTTTCGGTGTAACACTCCCTCTCACACCTCCATCAAGTCCCCCCAAAAGTACAAGGCAAACGCGGCAGGAAAGACACCGTCAAACCCCTATCCGGGCTGGACATCGACGCCCTTCTCGGAGAGACCCGACCGCGAACGAAGAAGACGCCCATTATATCCACGGAAAATGCGATTCCCGAATTCAAACAAATTCTGGAAACAGCCGAAGACGACGAGACCATTGAAACTGCCGCCAAGCAGATGGGCAATATCATTTGCAAGCTTGTCAGCGACAGCTTTGCGGATGTGCTGTACCCGAGAGCTGCCGAGAACCTCCGGGTGATGAGGGAGGAGCTAATAAACATGGAAGTTCCGACGCTTTACAACAAGTACATTACGAAACTCAAAGAGAGCCTGCTCTCCGGCAACTTGAATGGGGATCGAAGGGAGATGTGGTTCCGATGGATTGTTGGAGGGCGCTTGGGGTTGATCACGCAGGATGAGTCTGAGGTGTCGGAAGTCAGTGAGAAGGAGGCAAAGGCTGTGAGTGTCTAACCTGGAAACTACCATTCAGAAATTTGAGACTAAACTAACATTTTGTACTAGTTTCTAAAGTGAGTAGTCCTAATGCGTCCAGGTGGTCGGAATTAGGAGAGCAATATCACGCAGCTTGTTGCTAGAAGGGATTCAGGGATGTCGAAGGCAGCCACGCCTTGCGATTCCTACAGAGTCTACTAGGACTACACCGTGCAGAGCAAGTGTATGGGAAGGTCGCTGACAGGTTCTGGAGAGGACACTGACGAAGAGCGGCAAAGGAAGCACCCCTTCAGTGCGCAAGAAGTCGGGTGAACAGGAGAACGGAGGGATACATTTTCCGGAAGCAAGTGCAACTCAAGACACACAGTGTCAGTGTTGTGGCACGATAGATTTGTGACCAGATGATAGGGCTTTTCAGCTTTGCTGCCCAACGTCTGTTCACCTCATCTACTGCTCCAGGCTTGTTTATTCGATCAACACGGCCGCCAAATGTCAAGACCTTCAAGCATTATCTTATTCAAGGCGGTGCAAGCGAATGTATACAAACAGCACCTTTTTGGTCGATATCATCTGGTTGTCGGTCTTATGTGTGATGCTTTGTTTACTTATTCGTCACTCCCTCCTCCCAACGAACTTGGGTCTGGCATGCACAGTGCCAATTCTGCTACCGGCATTTAGGCAGACCAGACCATCCACAGTAGTTAGTACAACGACTAACACACTTCAACTTATCCAACCGTTTGCATGGCATGCCTTTTATCTGATCACGAGCAGTCGTTTTACTTGTGATTCAGACTCTGTAAGGCCGGCCCAGGGAATCGTCGTTTCCCTTCACAAGAAATGCCCATTCCTCGTCTTTGCCAAGTGGGGTCCTTTAATTCAGCACTTATTACCTCTATTCCGTCCTTTGTGAACTCTACAGTGGGGCACCCGTAGGCCTCATACCGTACCTCAAATCGTCACCACCTCAACGGGCAGTTGCGATTCTGTTTACTTATCTGTGCTCGCTCCTTCCATTCTCGTCCTTTTCTAGTGTCCTGTTGGGAGCCTCTCACTTACGCGCCCGCTCACTCGCACCTTCCGCGTTGGTTGTAAGTACTGCTCAAGACCATCATTCACTCGAAAAATGAAGGAGCCTAAATCCGTTTTCATCAACTGACCATCTGAACAAAATAGGTTTTCGGATGAGAAGTTTGGTCACTATCTAGGGCTTCCCATTCACTTCCATTGTGTCTGCTTAAGGACTATTTATATTTCCCTCGCTCACCTCTTCTCCGAAATATCTATCCCCTCCCCGACAATCGCTTTCGCGCAAGGCCTCCGCCCAGCAACGACGACAGCCCTACGACTGCGCGCGAGCCCACTTCGTTCAAGCGCCGCTTAATTCTTCCCTTCATTTTGCATCCTAACCTACGACACGTAAGTGGAATATCGTAGCAGAGACGCCTAGGCTGAGATCCCCATTTGCCGAAAACGTCCCTCTCCAGATCAGCCGCCCCCTCATATTGCTGGCCCTATCACCACACCCGAGAGACGTCACCAGATCCAAGATTAGAATCGCCGGCGTCGACTTCATGGCCAAGGCTAACTGATCTCTTAGTCACTCCTAACCGAACTATCGCTCGCCACCATGGAGGACGAGCAGTTCATGCAACAGCTGCGGAACCTTACCTGCCAGTCTGTGGACTGGAGCGGTTTCGATCCTTCAAAGTGGCGCGACGAAGACATCAATGACTGGGACATTAGTGATGACGCCCAGGGTGATGAGGACGACAATTATGCATCCGACGCTTCTATCCTGAGCGCCCGCCATCTGGATCCCTTTAACGTCAAACCTACTACTCGCCCTCACCATACTGGCCGTACCTCCTTGCGCGTTGAGGACGTGACCGACGAGCAGGAAGAGTACCGCGATGCTTCGGACTTGGAGAACATCAGATGGCCAGAAGTCAGCGTGGAGCAGGGCGAGATCGATCCCATTACAGAACTCTTTACTCCCTGGAGAATGGTTCTGGAGTATCCCAACCTGTTTGTTGGCAAGCGCAACGGCGCGAGGGTGAGACATATCATCGCAGTATGAATGATTGTGATGCTAACAGTTCGTTCCCAAGGCTCGGCCTCTTTTTACGCTCGAGAGCCTACACGAAAACCGCATGTGGGATCTGTAAGATGTTGAGGTCTTATCGGGGTTGGGTCCATGACACTGTGTTAACACGCTCCAGATTCTACCTCTACCGGCCGTCCAACGAGGGGAACAAGAATCCCTTGATCTTCGTCCCAACCTACCAGATGCAACACCTACTCGACGTCATAAACAGAAAACTCGACGTAGAGTTCACGTTTCCTCGCGGACATCAAGACATGTTCGCCATGCCATTTGGGCAGAGTAATACAGCGAAACCGCGATTTCTTGGCCGTTCCAGATCTGCCGAGGAATGGAAGCAGCTTACGAACAACGTCCCGGCGCGTAAGCCCGGAGACACGTCGGAAAATGCTCCTTTTCTTGCCAAGCAGGAGCTAACCCGCCGCTTGAACAGCATCTTTTCAATCCAAGACAAGAGCAAGAAGACCAAGAACAACCAGTACAAGCGATGCAATCTTCACCGCGCCTGGGGGAAAAATATCAAGAGGGTTCAGCGGTATCTCGGTCTTCGCCGCAGAGTTTTATCTGACCCGGAAGTGCCATCATTTACCCCGCTGGATCTCACCCAGCCTACTGGCATCCAGCCGGAGAAGTCTGTCGTGTTTGTGGCGATTGACCTTGAGGCTTATGAACTGGACCAAAGCATCATCACCGAGGTCGGCCTGGCAATTCTTGATACCGCCGAGATCACAAATGTTGCTCCTGGTGAAGGCAGCAAGAACTGGTTCGACTTCATCAAAGCACGACATATCCGCGTCAAGGAGTTTTCGTGGGCCCAAAACTCCAGGCATGTCCAAGGCCGCGCCGAATACTTTGACTTTGGGTATGTGTGATTTCGTCCCTCATCCCTTGCCCTGTCCCTGCCCCAAATCCGAAACCGAATCACTAACAATGTCCAGCGAGAGCGAGTTCATCGAGGTCGCGAAGATCGCCAGCGTTCTGAAGGAGACCATCGAGGGAGAGTCCTCCACCGGCGGTGAGGGAGCAAAGCGCCCCGTGGTCCTTGTGTTCCACGACCAATCTCAAGATCTCAAGTACATTCGCATGCTTGGCTATGATGTGGCCAGCGCGGACAACATTTTGGAGGTGGTAGACACTCGAGAGATGTACCAGTATCTCAGCCGTTCGAACAACGCCTCCAAACTTTCGAATGTTTGTGGCTTCCTCGACATTTCGTGGAAGAATATGCACAACGCTGGAAATGACGCGGTCTACACTCTTCAGGCCATGATGGGCTTGGCCATTGACATGCGGCAGAAGAGCTTGGAGAGGGCTGCTGCGAAGGCTTCAAAGGCGAATACGAGGTAAGTCCTCAAGAAGAAAGGCCACAGGCCGGACGAAGTGCTAATTTAATCATGTTTCTTTTAGTAATGATGGTTACGTTACTTACTCTGAATTCACCGCGACGAAGGAGGACGTCGATGAGGGTTGGATCAGCACCGGGGAGCTGTCTGATGGTGGCGAACCAAGCTTGGTGATGGCGGCGAGCCCCGTCCCTAACTCCGTCGTGAAGACTACAGTGGATGAAAACTGGGAGTTGTAATGGCGATGAGACTACCATATTTCCACCATCACTGCCCAGTGCGCAGGTGTACCTGGGAAAAGTTAGCTGATAGACTGGAGTCGAAGCAAGGCAAAGGGGCAAAAGCAGGCAAGAAAAGGTGAAAAGGGCTGCACTCCAGCCAAAGCGAGCATCAAACCAGCATCTGGCAATGTTGTAACGCGCATCTAGTCTACGGCGTGTATACAATGAAAAGGAGAGCCGCCAAACTATTCAGTCCATGTGGCACAGAACACAAAAATCGTAGTGGTACTAATATTTTACATGGGTATGTTATTCATGTTGTGCAAAGCGTACAAAAGCCTCCTTCTTTTTTTCCATCCAAGCCACCCGCAAAGCCAAAAACCCGTCAACGCCAGTGCTATGAAGAACCATATGTGTGTTTTTGTTGTACAAGAATAGGGTAAGGAGCTTCTCCGAGGCCAATGTGTAGTAGCAGGCCGTATCATCATGACGTAGGTGCTTTCTGATCGAACTCTGTCCTGTCTCGTGGCTCAGGCTTGATGAGATGCTGCTTGTGGTCGAGTACTGCAGTGTTCTGCTAGCAGTGTTTGACGACTACCGTAGCCGAAGCTGCATACCCCAACCACTCAGTCCACTGAGGCGACACTGGTTATCGTCGTAACAGACAGACTCGAGCTGGAGTTGGAGAGTGGTGTAAGGATGTGATTCTGTATTGTTCGTCTGTGTAAGACCTCCAAGAGACTCTAGACTCGCCTCTCACAGTTCCATCGTCGAGATCGATCGAATCGATCGCCTCGCATGGCGTTGCACTGCATCGAGACGGATTGGACCGAACAGATTGATCGGTCGACGAAATCAATCAAAATGGAACTTAGACGCTCTTCTCAAGGAACTCCTTAGCCTCGTTGACCTTGGTGGCCAGATACGGGCTGCCGCCGCGATCGGGGTGGTTGAGGAGCATGAGGGTGCGGTGGGCCTTGCGAATCTTGTCCTTGGTGATGGTGCGCTCACTGTTTGTTGGAGGGTGAGTATTAGTTACTGGTTCCCTTTCGATTCATGGGGCTCACTCCGAGAGGAACGTGGAAAGCTGTGTAGATGCGGGTGTGTATGATGATGGGTAGGACGGAGCAACGGATGGATGAATGTATGAGACAAGGAGGTTCGTGGCCGGGCAGGCAGGCGGGCCATGAGGGACGAAGCATGAAAGGGAAGAAAGAGGCATGGAATGGATGGGAACAACGATACAGGAGCGAAAACAGACAACGACAAGGCGAACTGAACAAGACATACTTGAGCGAGAGAATCAACGAAGCCTCCTTCTTGTTCATCCGCGGCTCGAATCCACCCTTGTAGAAAGCCTTGCCGAGGGCGCCAACGCCGCCGCGCGAGCGGCGCCATGCTACGAGACCTGCGCGGCCCTATTATTGTTGGTAGGAAGGTTAGCTGGTTCTTATTCTTTCCTCTTCCATGATCAACAACGACATGGCCCAGGCATAACATCTGTTTCCAGTGGCTTTTTTGTTGTTGATTGAGGGTAGAGACAGTGATTAAAGTGTGATGCCTGCCGGTGCGGGATCCATTCGCGAGCGATGGGAGTAGGACTCACCAGGAAAGCGGCGACGGCGACGCCGGCGCCAATAGCTACTGCTGACGACATTGTGATTGTGCGGGTTGTGTTTGGGTTGTATTGGGTTTATGGGAGTCGGTTGATGTTGACGTCGTCCGGGGACTGGGGCTCAGTTGAGGCTGTCGTCAGTGATCGAGTGCGGGTGGGTTGATCTTGGGCGGGCCGGCGTATGTACGGATACACGGGTAGAATGGGATGGATGGAGTTCGGTGATGCGAGGACGGGACGGCGAGGCTTGTCCGTTGTTGAAGCGAACTTTTTTGCCGGCAGCGGCAACGTATCAGCCCTTTATGGCGGGCGTTATCGGGTTTGCCGCGCGTTTTACGGCAGGCAATGGCGGGCACCTTGAGCGCTGCCAAGCGTTGGGAAGAGAATATGCGACTAACAGAGGCCCGGACTCGCTTAGCGCATGGGCAACGCTTCGTTACACACATCATGGACTATCATCACTGTCGTCGCCGTCCGCTCACACCTACTACATGTTGTCAACTATCGCTCAATTAGCTTACACAATTCGTATCCTGAGCCGATGACTTGTGCCGACCGCCCGCACGTCAATGTCGAGATTGATGCCGCTCCCGTGGAAGTGAATGCTTTGCGTAAACTCCACCTAACGGATGATCAAGATCCGAAAGTGATAAACAAACATAAACGTCGTCAACAAGGCCTCCATCGCAATTTTACTGCTATCGGTATACAGCCCTACTTCTTCCCGTCGGTCTGACGGTGTCGTAGTCCAGAGCCCACTCAAAACTTGCCTGCTTGAGGAGACTAAAGGGGGTATCATTGCCCATTACACAGCATACCAATCAGTTCCTCCTACTTCCCGATTGTAGCGATGTGCATGGGTTTGCTTGTACATCGTTTTCCATCTCCTTCCCAAACTCCCTTTTGATCAATCAAACGAAACGTGAACAGAACCAGAACCATTACCACCCATCTCATCACACATATCCCTTCATCCACCTTTTTTACGCAGACTCTCATCATCAAGGGTATGTCTCAAGGCTCAGCAGACACCAACCTCTCATGCTTCAGCTCAAACTTGGCATGATACGCCGGTCTCGGCATTGCCAACCCGGCCTCCACATCCTGCAACACCCTCGCGTTGAGATCCTCTATCATCTTGCGCTGCTGCTCTGGGTCCAGTCGATGCTGGGCGCTTCGCGCCGCGTTATCGTTGTAGTTGCCCGCGCCGCCACGCCCGCTCAGCCGGCCGGAGAGGTTCGGCCGCTGGATGCTCGCCGTCACGACGCGCGTCAGCTCCTCGAGCTCGGCCTCCTTCTCCTCCTCCTGCTGCTGGGCGGCGGCCGCGTCGGTTGCCGAGGCGTCGTAGAAGTTGCCGGCGCCGCCGCGACCACCGGCTCGCGAGCTGCTGAGACTGGTTTGTGCGGTGATGGAGCGCTCGAGGGTTGTTGGCGAGGTAGAACCGGAAGAAGACTTCTTTTGCGCTTCGAGATCCTGTGGGTTTGGTTTGAGAATGGCGAACGAAACGAAAAGACAGCCGAGGCACAGGCGGATCAAAGGAGAAGTGTTTGTCCGATTTCGTGTGTGCAATGGATGGGTACACTCACAGCAGCCGCCTTCTCGGCATCTTCAATGTCCTTTTTACTATACCAATTGCCCGCACCTCCGCGGCCCACTCTGCGGAAGACTTCCGATGACATTTCGAGTCCGCGCGACGGGAACGACTGGTAACCAGGTGAAAGATAAAAGGGCGAGTGGTAGGTAGGTAAAGGTACGTAAGCACGACTGGTAGGTTCAACGCCCAACAAGAGCAGCAGCAGCAACAGGCCAACAGGAGTCCTGGGACAACAAAAGGATAGTAGTAAGTAGCGTGAAGTAAGGTTGGTTCTTGACGAGGAAAAAAAAACCTTGTTTGTTATGTCGCGGCCAGGTTAACGAGTTTCAGGGAGGCAACGCTGATCCGATTGAAGACGGCGCACACCCGCCGGGAACATCCAATTGCTTGTGTACATGTAGGGGACTTTATTGCGGGGTTGATGATTTTTCACATTAAAACATGCATCCCATGACATTGCCAATGCCACACGTAACCAATCCGTCTTACTCATCTCCAAACTTCTAATTAGAGTGCCAGAGGCCTCCTTGGAGTGTCATCAACTACATCCAGCAGCGGAATTACTAGTTGTTCTGTCCCGCGGGCTTGGTAGACTGCTACCAGCGAGCCTTGCATTTTCTTTCTGCCAGCTCCCAGACAACCTTCAGCCGATTTCGAAGGATACCTCCTAGGCATCACATACGGCATGTGCGGACGAGTCCGAGAAAGTTAAGCCGGGACCACAAACTGCGTAGGTACTCCGTGTTATTATCGTCAAAGCTTGGTCCGGTCAGGCCCATTCCCTCTCTGCTAGACTGCCACAGGCATTTCGCGTGTTGCTCGTACGAATACATAGGAGGTACGGCCAACATCGCCACGCCACTCGGTAGATGTAGCTATCCTTTACAAGTATCAGTACTCGACTTCACTACGAATGAGTTTTCAACATTGAGGCCTCAATCTTCATGTCTGGCTGTCAGGGTACCGCAGATCCGAACAGTGGTCCGCCTCGGGTTGGTCATGTCGATCAAGTAAAGTATCTACACTAGACTACATGATGGCTTCGGCACCTCCCGGTTCCCGTCGACCGTTGCGAAAGCACAAGTTCCATGGATTTCCTTTTATACCACCCCTTTTCTTCTCTTCATGTTCCGTTCCAGCAACTTCGTTCTTTTGAAAGGATGCTGCGGGCTCGTCCAGGCCAATACTATATACCATGCCTACACCTCCGGTTACGCATCCAGCAATGACCCGGGGCGCGAGAATATCAATGTATAAGTCTAGACCCCTGCTGCGCTGGTATTGATGCAGGTACAAGCCGACCACAGATACTTCTTGATCTCAAGCTTTTGTTATCAGATAATGAACTGCAAAGTTTGTCACGCATCCCGTGCTGGTACCGTCTTGTCCACAAAGGTCCCATCAGTGACCTGGAGTTAGAAGTTCAACTTGCGTTTCCTTCTCCAACGCGGTCGAGCCAACTCACAAGTTTTTTTTTCTTTTTTTTTTTTTTTTTTTTTTTTTTTTTTTTTTTTTTTTTTTTTTTTTTTTTTTTTTAGCATGATGCCTGAAGCCGAATTTGATGAATACCATCAACTGCTCCACCGTAAACGTGCGGGGTAAAAAGGAGTCCTTCTCACTTCCAGCATTGATTGGTGAGGCGCACAGAAGTAGAGGACGAACTCTTGTCAAGGTACGTAAAGGTATGCATGTGCCTGGAATGGAATGCTCCTCCTTGAACGGATAGGTGTGAACACCGATCATTAATACGTTGCGAATTCTGTACTGACCCCGATCGACCTAATAAACTCAACAAACTGTGAACGGGAAAGTAGCAGAGGATCGCAGAAGTCAACTTCGAAGCGACCCCGATCATACCAAGTAGCCGGCGACTAAGCCGCCGATCTCCTCACATGTTTTCATTAGAACAGAACCATGGTCTGCCGAACAAGGCTTCCACTGCCCGCCGGTCCGTCAGGAACTCCAGTGCACCATCATTGATGGAATACCTATCTAACAAATATTACTCACGGGAGACTTCGCCGTCAAAATACTAAATCCAAGGACGGAGTCAGACTGTTAGAAGTGTCTCTACAAAGCCGGCCATTTCCCCGGCCGGGACCGGAGGGATCGGATGGAAACTGGGCCTCCACTTGCCGTGTGTCTGCCTTTCTTGGAATCCTTGCTACCTAGGGAATTTCAGCCATGTACTTGGTCAGCTGTCCCGTTTCCGCCATTCAACGTCATTTCGTGGATCGTTCCACGCGAGCGAGGAACGTCGCAGAAGAGAAACCACATCCCCAGCTGTTTCGCAATTGATACATGAATGTCTTGTACATTTATGCTGCTGGTGACCTGCCTTTTTGCAATTACTGTGCCGCTTTCAAAGGGTTACAGAGCACAATCCGTGGCACACGCCTTGCTTTCTTTGGATCTTGTAGTGTGTGAGTATCTTTCGCGAGAAGAAATGTGACGGACACTGTAGCCCGTTTTCACCTCGTGTGCTCATGGGTGTATTTTAGACAGTCTCGAGGCCTGGCTGACAGCGCGTCCCTTACGTCGAATGCAGGTGACGTTAGGCGGCATCTAGCTCGAAGGCAGGTGACGGACAATCTCGAAAATAGTACATATTCTGTTGGTCAGCGGATAGGCTACAAAGATAGAAGGTAGGTATCGTCCGAAAAGGCGAACCATATTGGAGTGAAGACATAGTAAACTTCAATACACTCTTTCCGATGGCCCAACAAAACCTTAAAGCCTCTTCAGCATCAGACACGGAGAAATTCAACGAAAAAAAACATAAATAAACAAATAACCGTGACTGGGGATTGTCAATCGGTCCCACTGCAGCCTTACCTCACCTCCATGCGAGCCAGTTGGATATCGTCCAGCTTGCCCAACTTACCCACTCTTTGCCCTGCCCGTCCTGATGATCTGTGCCTTAGCCTGATGGGCCAACAGGCAGAGGTTTTTTTGCCACTGGACGACCGCCGCGAAGCCTTGAAAGTAGCGTAGGTCTGATGAAGCGACTATACCCCCCCGGTATACAGGTATAAGTATGCCCTGCTACCAAAACCAGACCCCTGTTAATGCAATTTCGGGCCAGCAACCGTTGCAATTGCACATTACAGTTTTTACATCAGAGGGAAATACAGGCAGTCGAAATCCTTTGCAAAAGAGGGGGATTTGCTTTGTATCAACAGGGGTTTCTACTGTATCAGGGTCGCCTTCAACAAGAAAGCCCACTTTTTACAATGTTGAGAAATGGTTGGATGTCGGCTATCAATGTCGTCTTGTTAGGTATCAATAAGATGGAGCTTCCCTCCATGTTATCATGAGCTCTGCCTTTTTTTTTCCCCCTCTCTTTCCTCTTGGATAAGTTTGAGTTTGGCATGCATGTCTTGCGGCTCAAATCCCGAATGGTCTCGAATTGGGGCATCGGAACCCCAAGTCCCCAACACTGGGTCTTCTTGCAAGGGGGAAAAATGACTTTCATCGAGTTAGCATCAGTTGGGAGTGTAGTCTAAACCCGAGAGAGCCTGCTAGAAACTCCGTTTCCGTTCCGTCACTCGCTGGGTCCATCCACGAAGCTGCGCTCAGCTCATTT